AGAGTGCAGAGGGAACCCCCGCCCCCCGTATCATTCACTGCAATATCCCAACAGCAAATCATGACATGAGGAAATCAATTACAACCAGAGTGGGTCTGGGGGTGTCAGTCCTTTCTGGGGAAGTGGCATTTAAAAAGATGCTTGGAAATGAGCAAAGTTAGCATTAGAGAGGAAGACTCCAAGAAGGACCAGTATGAGCAGTACCGGGCCAGGGGACAGCGGAAACCATTCTGAGACCGAAGCTTGCTGTCCTTCTGCTGGCACACATGTAGGATGAGGTTCAGACAATGACATGCTCCCACTTGTGGACTGCTGTGCCCTGGAGTTCCACATTCTGATAGGAGGTGATGAGGTCCCGGGCCACTCCACCCTACCAGCCATACTAACTACAGTCTGTCAAATCATCCAGGACTCAAGCATTTGCCTGACACTGTTTTCACTGATCCACATCCCACAGACGTCTTGGTGGTTGTTGGGAGGTAGATCAGCAGCTGAACAGAAGGCCCTGACTAGCCATGCTCTGTGGGAGAACAGCATAGGGTGAGGAGCATTTGGGTCTGGGCCTTGAAGAGTGAGAGAGGGAGACAGGGAGAGAAGGAAAGAGGCGGAGGGGGAGGAGGGGGGAGAGAGAGAGATATCCTAGGCAAAGGGAAAGTGGAAGGTACTCCAGGTAGAGAAGAGCCTGCGAAAAGGCAGAAGTCCAGGAAGATGAGGCTGGAAGGTATCTGTGCCACTATAGTCACTGCCAGTGGTTGACTATAGGTCGTAATGCCCAGATGTCACCCATGGAGCCAGACCTAGTCAAAGGTATGAAACAAAAGCACCCAATGAGATCTGATTTTTAAGAGCATCCTAGATGCAGCAATGAGAATGCAAAGGAAGGAGGGAGAGGAGGAAGAACCAGAGATTAAATTTCCCTGGGGCTGCTGGCTGGGGAGACAGGCAAGGGGAGGGACCAATGAAAGGGTGGGAGGAGGCTGGAGATGCCTTTGGAGCAAGAGTGGTAGACAAGGAAGTCACAAAAGAGGCTGGGAAAGACTTGGAGCTGCATCCCAGACCAGCTGCCTGTGGCTTTCAGGTGGGCCAGGAGGGAGAGAAAGGAAGAGGGGAGGAAGAGGGAGAGAGCGCTTCTGCACACTAAGTGCCACTGACTCTTTCATGGACATCAACACAAGCACATGTGAGTGCACATGAAAAAGCACATGTACGTGCACACACATGTTTGCAGAGCCCAGGCAAAGGCACACTGCAGCCACCCTGAGTGTCCCCTCCCAAAGACCCACTGCAACAGGGTCAGCAGGGACTCAAGGGTCCCTAGAAGGCAGGGCCAGTGCCTGCTACTAGGAGTGTAGCCCCAGAGGTGAAACTTCAGGGCTGGAGGCTGTCTACAGGGGCTTTCTGCAGAACCCACTCCCCAAAGGAAAGGACAGTCTAGCAAGAGAAGGCCACCAATTGGAAGGAGGGATGGGATGATGTGGACTTGACTGTGTGACTAAAGAATTGGGCTAGGGACATGCTAAGATCTGGCCCAATCCCGAGAATCTGTGGTTCTGCAACTTAGTCTCCACTTGCAATACCTACCTCGGGCAAGTCCTCTGTGCTGAAGGGGAGCCCTCTAGTAAGAATACAGGATGGATAAAGAGAACATGGACATACACAAAAGGATGGGGTTGGAGGTGTGGACCCACATGGAGGAGTTAGATCCTAGTGGCCCTTGGCATCCATTTCCAGGGCCATGGTCTTTCTCCATTGTCTTACGAGTGTACCCCACTTTAAACACACACAAATGGGGGACATTAGATAAAGCCCAATGAGTGGCTCCTCACGGTGCTACGTCCCCAGCCTGGAACAGGCTGATACACAGGAAGTACTTGGGAAACATCTGTCACTTGAACAATGATTTCCTCTAGCGTCACCAGGAAATGAGAGCAAATGGCCACAGAACTGAGGCTTATGCCTTTCAAGCACAAAGATCTAACTCCTAAATGGCATCAGACAGCTCCTTGTCTTCTGCTTTGTATCTGAGCATCAGTGTCAGTGACACCTTGAGCCATCCCCCACAATGACCCATTCCTGAAGCTAGAAGCTACATAACTAGACCCATGTCAGGGCAATTCAGTCACTTTCCCAGGATTGTTAATCAGATGTCAATCAAATAACTTTGCTTTTGTAACTTTTTAACGCTTGCAACATAAAATAACACATCAGAAATATAGACATGAGAAAATATATATCCATATCACAAATAAAATACCAGGGTTGCTATCTTACCCAAAGTTGTTACCTCACCTGTATGCTTTACTTTGTAACATTAAAAAATATCTTGTTTCTTTCCTTGTGATGGGAAAGCAGCCCTGCAGGTGTGGGTAAGGATGTGAACAACTTACTAGAAGCCTCTGGGGTCACTCTGGGGCTCTCAGGGAAAGCAAGGGTCACTGCAGAGCCAGCATGTACCCTGAAGGGTAGAAGGGCCTGGATCAGCACACCTCTCATGCTTGGAAGATTTGGATCAGGGCCGAGAGCATTTCAAGGTTTCTTTGTACCTTGAAATCAAGGTAACTTTTCTAAAACATCAGATTTTTATGTCACCAGAATATGTAGAAATAGTTACTGACTGCAACTCCTCTGGGATGAAAGCACAGCATTTAGGAGCCAGCCTTGACTCTTTCTGCTATGTGAACATAGCTACAAGAATCTCCCTTTCAGTGCTGTCACTGGCAAGTCAGAAGTGGTCCCCACCTTGTGAGTTTGAAGATTCAATGAGACAATGAGAAGCACCAATGTATGACTTGGCAAGAAGGTGACAATACTACAGTAAATTCCCAGAGAAGAAGCAGAAGAATTGGGGGTTGAAGGTGAAGCAGGGTGCAAGTTGGTGGAATCATGAAATGATGGCTCCTAAACAGATTTTTACATCTTGAAATCAGAGACGCAGAGCGTATAAGAGTGATGAAAAGAAAAACAGGAGGAAGGACAGATCACTCTTCCATGAAAATACTTAACACAAGCTCTGCAAATGCAGCTTCTGCACAAGGTCCTGCTTCTGGATGATGGGGCGTGGAATTTAGTGGGACACAGTCACGATCCCAAAGGATGACAGATCTGATCCAGCTGCACCTGATGATGAAAGGCTCAGAACTGAGCCCTTTCAAGGCTTGAGAAAGGGAAGCTTTAATCATTTGCTGGGAAGGTAAACCAGAGACTAAACCTTGAAGCATAATTAACAAGTATCTGGACGGCACAGTTTGGAGGTGCTTTCTAAGTCAGACGAGCAAAACCACTGTTAAAAATCAGCTCTGTTCCAAACAGGAAGAGAAAGCAAACAGCCTCAACATGTATATAGCAGTCAGAAGAGACCACTGAACAAAGAAGGGCTGCCTGGATTGTAGCAAATAATGAACAATTTTTCCAGAGAAGTAGCATTTATTTCTCTGTGGCTTTCAAGTCAGGATAATCTAAGGATGATGATGCACTATCCAGACCAAGGGATAAAGAGAAATGTAATCAAAAGTAAGAAAGTTAGGGGGAATGTGCAAATTACTGATATAAAACTGTCCGCTTGAAAGACAGTGTGAAAATAATAAAGAGAAGACTGAAAATTCACACAGGAATAGATGTGTAGCAAGAGGAAAGATAATAAAGTGAAAATGAAATGTAAAAAAACCCAATCTGACAGAAACTGCAGAAACAGCTTCATAAATTCTCTAGCCAAGAGATTTCTGAGTAAAGTGACATCCTTTATAATCACTCAAGGAGTTATTTACTCAAGGAGTCTCACAGCAGCCAAGAATTCTGACGATACATTCATATCATTGCCAAGACTATATCAAAGAAGGAAGGATCTCAGGTAAGCTGTTCTGTCATGCACTGTAAGAGCTGCAGGATTCTCTGGATAGAATAAGGGAATGAGGCAGCCAGCAGGGGCTCTAAGGGTCTGTAGAGGAAGGTGTCATTGAGACCAATGGCTTCAACCTCAACAAAGCTGTTGAGGAAAGGGAGAAACACCCTTCATAAGAATGCTTAATAGGTGATTCTTTCAAAATTGGTAGAATTAAAGAAGCAGTTGGGTAAGTATGTTATATATTCATTCCAGAAACCTGACAAATGCAGTTGAGGAGGCAGTTAGAAAATGACATTAAGCAGATAGAAGGGTAAAAAATCTTATTTT